GTGGATGGATTGGTGGATGGATGGATGGATGGATAAATGGATGCATAGATAGATGATGAATGGGTGAATGGATGGATGGTGGGTTGACAGATGGATGGATAGGTGGATGATAGATGGAGATGGATAGATGGTGAGTGAGTGGATGGATGGATAAATGAATGGATGGGTGAATGGGTGGATGGATGGATGGATGGTTGGAGAGATGGGTGGATGGATGGCTGATGGCTGATGGATGAATGGGTGGTTAATGGGTAGATGGATGGATGGATGGTTGGATGGATGGATGGGTGGATGGATGGATGGATGGGTGAATGGGTGAATGGGTGGTTGGATGGATGATGGATGGATGATTGATGGATGATGGATGGATGGGTGGTTAATGCGTGGATGGATGAATGGATGGATGGATGGGTGGATGGATAGATGGATGGATGGGTGGATGGATGGATGGGTGAATGGGTGGATGGATGGATGATAGATGGATGATGGATGGATGGGTGGTTAATGGGTGGATGGATGGATGGATGAGGGAATGGATGGATGGATGGATGGGTGGATGGGTGGGTGAATGGATGGATAGATGGATGATAGATGGATGATAGATGGATAGGTGGTTAACAGGTGGATGGATGAATGGATGGATGGATGGATGGATGGGTGGGTGGCTGGATAGATGGATGATGAATGGGTGAATGGATGGATGGTAGGTGGTCAGATGGATGGATGGATGGATGGATGCATAGATGGATGATGGATGATGGATGGATGATGGATGGATGGGTGGGTAAATGGATGGATGGATTGGTAGATGAGTGAATGGGTAGATGGATGGGTGGATGGATGGATGGGTGGATTGATGGGTGGATAATGGCTGGGTGGGTGGATGGATGGTTAATGGGTGGATGGATGGATGGATGAGTGGATGGATGGATGGGTGAATGGGTGGATAGATGGATGGGTGGGTGGGTGGATGGATGGATGGATGGATGAGTGAATGGATGAATGGGTAGGTGGGTGGATGGATGGGTGGGTGGGTGGGTGGGTGGATGGGTGGATAATGGGTGGATAGATGGATGAGTGGATGGATGAATGGGTGCGTGGGTGGATGAATGGATGGATGAGTTGGTGGATGGGTGGATGGATGGATGGATGGGTGGATGGATGGATGGATGGATGGGTGAGTGGATGGATGGATGGATGATAGATGGATAATAGATGGATGGGTGGTTAAAGGGTGGATGGATGAATGGATGGATGGATGGATGGATGGATGTGTGGGTGGATGGATAAATGGATGGATGGGTGGATGGGTGGATGGATGAATGATAAATGGATGATGGATTGATGGGTGGTTAATGGGTGGATGGATGGATGGATGGATGGGTAGATGGATGATGAATGGGTGAATGGATGGATGGTAGGTGGTGAGATGGATGGATGGATGGGTGGGTGAATGGATGGATGGATGGATAGATGGGCAAATGGGTAGATGGATGGGTGGAAGGATGGGTGGATAATGGGTGGGTGGATGGATAAATGGATGGATGGGTGGATGGGTGGATGGGTGGATGGATGAATGATAGATGGATGATGGATTGATGGGTGGTTAATGGGTGGATGGATGGATGGATGGGTGGGTGGGTGGATGGATGGGTGGGTGGGTGAGTGGATAATGGGTGGGTGGGTGGGTGGATGGATGGGTGAATGGATGGGTGGTTAATGGGTGGTTGGATGGATTGATGGATGGATAAATAGATGATGAATGGGTGAATGGATGGATGGTGGGTAGAAGGATGGATGGATGGATGGATGGCTAGATGGATGATAGATGGATGATGGATGGATAGGTAGTTAATGGGTGGATGGATGGATGGGTGTGTGGATGGGGGTTAATGGATGGATGGGTGTTTGGATAGATGATGAATGGGTGAATGGATGGATGGTGGGTGGACAGATGGATGGATGAATGTGTGGATGGATGGATGGATGGATAGATGGATGGATGGGTGGATGGATGGATAGGTGGTTAATGGGTAGATGGATGGATGGATGGGTGGATGGATGATGGATGAAGGGTGGATGGGTGGTTGATGGGTGGTTAATGGGTGGGTGGATGGATGGATGATAGATGGATGGATGGATGAATGGATGGATGGTGGGTGGACAAATGGATGGATGGATGGATGGATGGATGGTTGGATAAATGGGTGGATGGATGGGTGGATGGATGAACGGATGGATGGTGGGTGGGTAGGTAGGTGGGTGGATGGATGGATGGGTAGATGGATGATAGACGGATGATGGACGGATAGATGAATGGGTGAATGGATGGATGGATGGATAGATGAATGGATGGATGGATGGGTGGATGGATGGGGGATGAATGGGAGAATGGATGAATGACAGATGAGTGGTGTATGGTTGGATGGATAGATGCATTGACAAGTAACAGTAGAGTTATTAGTTGATATCAAATACTCTGCCCTATCATTCCTATTAAGACATGCCCTAGTTATGAAACGATGGATGCTGGCCACTGCATTTAAAGATCTATTCTTGCCACTTCCCATCCATCAGCATTTCTGATAGATAATCAAATAATTGTATTTTAAGTTCTTAGTGACAGAGAACCGCTGCCATTCCAAGGCAGCCTTCTCCCCATGGGAATATTTTTCCTTCTTTTGAACCGAAATATGTCTTGGCACATTTCCTCCCTGGCTGTCTGTGACTGGGATTCCAGAACCAAGAGCTGGAGGCAAGGGAGAGATGCGTAGGTTGAGATGGAAATGAGGCACAGGCTCGCTTCCCCTGGGCGATCTGGCTCAACCTGAGGGCCAACCCTGCACCCCGCTCCCCTTTCCCTTCTCCTGTTCCTCTAGAATCTTGAGGCATCTGCCGCTCTGGCTGGATGCTGGGATGGATGGTGGGCACAGCTGCTTCTGGGGCACACCCTCACATTCTCTGGCTCCCCCGGGGGTTGTGGGAGGGGAGAGCTGTGAGCTCCCCTCCCGGGCTGGCCACAGGACCCAGCCTGGTGTGTGTGTGCGGGGCGGGGGGGGGGGGGGGCGGGGGACGAATCAGAGCCAGACTTCGTGACACCCACGAAGTCTGCACCAGCCAGCCCCTACCTGAGTCACCGCGGACCGGAGTTATGGGCCATGTGGCTGGCACTCAGACACACACGGCCTTCAGAGTGACTTGGTTGCGTGTGCGCCACTCGCCCAGATGATCTTAGCCGCGCCCTCGTCCAGCCTCACATCCCCCAGGTGCTTTCAGCCCTGGCCCCCTGGCCCAGCAGAGGCCAGGCTAGCTGCGGAAGTGAGAGGGGCCGTTCACCCGTGCTATGGGGAAGGAGGGCAGCAGGGGCAGGCAGTCAGCACACCAGCTTGTGGTACTGGCTCTGCCGGCCCCAGCTCTGCAACCTTGGATACCAGTCTGAGCCTCGGTTTCCCCATGCGGGACCTGGGTGCAGCGGCCGTGAGGGTTGGCGAGCCGGGCAAGCTGCTGGACATGACTGCTGGGCACTGAGCTGGGCTCGGTGACGCCCTGCAGACATGAGTCCAGTACCCGCCTTGTCCGGTCACTCGCCCGCGAGCGTTCTCAAGTGAGTCACGGCGACTGAGCCCAACCAGAGGAACAGTGGGCTGGGCTGCACCTCCCGGGCCTTGGCCAGAGCACCAGGGGCAGGGGGCCCGCCGGCCAGGGCACCGCACTGACCCTGTGCCCACCGGCCACCCTGGGCGCGTGCTCTCTGCTACCAAACGGGGCAGGCCATGTTCGTCTCTGCCTCTGGGGTCGCCCTGCTCTGACCTCCCAGTGCAGTGCGGCGGGTGCTGGGGAGGGCAGCAGCCTCCCCATTTGGGGAGCAGAGAGGATTCCCCCTCGAGGTGATAAGTGGAGCAGAGAGCTGGGCATAAACAAGGGGAAAACTGGAGAACCAGGAGGGATGGATGAATGGATGGATGGTGGGTGGACAAATGGATGGATGGATGGATGGATGGATGTGTGGGTGGATGGATAAATGGATAGATGGTGAGTGAGTGGATGGATGGATAAATGAATGGATGGGTGAATGGGTGGATGGATGGATGGATGGTTGGAGAGATGGGTGGATGG